TTATGGCAAAAAAATAAAAAAGGATTATTGCTTTGATTGATGGCAATCTTGGCCTTGTTGATTAGTTTGGCAGAAATTCAACTGTCCATATACAAAAAGAAGACAAAAACAGATTTTAATCAGGAGGTCTTGACATTTTTAATTTGAGGAGGTTTAATTTCAATTACTTGATAGATAAGATTTAAATGGGACTTATATATATTAGGTCTTACATATCTTATGGTTGTAATTGAATATTATGATATTTTTAATATTAGGACATCTTATTTTTTTACAACTTGTTTAGAAAAAGATAAAAAAAGAAAAGAAAAAAGAAGTGTTGTGATGGACTATATAATTTAAAGCAATAGATGAGGTGAACTCTCTAATATTAAGGTTGTTTTTATAATGTAGATTATAAAACGTGGATTTATATATATATATATGTGTGTGTGTGTTCAATTCAATTAAACTCTAGTTAATAGTTATGAAGAATTGATAGATTTTAACGTATGTTTTGTTCTCTAGTGCATAATGTTTCTTGTGTTGTAAATCAGTTTTGTTGATTGATAGTGATGATAGGAAGATATTAAGGAGAATGAAAAAGCAAAAACAAGGAGGCTAAGCAAAAGTCTTGATAGTAACAGTACAGAATGATCTCAATCCAAGTGTCCTCCAAAGTCAAAAGTAATCCCCAAGAAAAATCTTGCTTCAATCTGCCTCCCAAGGCCACACAATCTTAGGGATATGATCAAAGAAACCTCACTGTAAAAGCCAAAGGGTGCAGACTGGAGACGAAAACTCAAAGAAAAGGTATGTTTCTTCAGCCATTTTTAATGTGATTTAACTTGCATATGGTTTTTGTTTAGATTGTTATGTAGTTTGTGTGGATGATTTTCTCTCTGGTTTTATCGCTTTATTGTTTCAAACTTTTCTACAATGTTGGCTTCAGAAGGGTTTTGGGAGTTTCTTGTTTCTTGTTTGGCTTTAATAATCATAATAACTATGGCTGCATCAGAGTTGCATGGTAGAATTTTCAAGTCTCTTATGATTTTTGTTATGGCTCTCAATTTTCTTTTCTATGATTAACCCATCATGAAACAAGTATGTATCTAATCCTTTGGTAATTTAAATTAATGCCATCTCATTAGGTATGATGGTTCTTGCATTGTAATTGCTTATCCATAATTGAAGATCGTTTCATAACTTCAACATATATATAATGCTGTCTCCATCTCCTCTCCTTAAGCTTCAAGTTAACAGAAATTGAGGATGCCAAAGACAATGTCTCAAGGAAGAATTCTTGGTCTAGGCCTTCTTGTAGCATCTGTCTTCTTGTTTATCGACTCCTTTGAATGTACTGAGTATTCTCCTCCATCAACTCAAGGTATGCTATCATCCAAATTATGCATGATCTCTTTATATTC